TTGCTCACGATTCATGGGTTCGGCACCAAACCTTTTAAATTGTACAGCGTGAGGCAACATCCGTCGTCTGATGAAACGGAACAAATCCGGAAATTAAGTGCTAACTTCACACGTATCGTACGTTTATTTATGTTTTATTAAGTGAGTATTCATGTTTCTTTGACTAAAACCAGACAACGGTTAGGCCCACTAAGCTAATTTGGTGTTTAAAATACAAAATCTACATTTAATATTAAAAATATTAACATTGTAGGGAAGTTTAAATGTTGTCACGGAAAGGATATTGAAAACTACATCAGGACATATAATAGTAAATATGTATTTACATACGAACTCCCACTCGTAAATAAGAATAGTTCTTGTTCCAAGTGACCAAGTCCCACGGCGTTGCCAAATTTTCAGTTGGAATTGCATTCCCGCCCAGATACCTACCTACCCAGTTACCGCTCCCATTGCCCAGCTTTACTTAGTTTTAATTATATTGTAAGTAGTTAAAAATAACATGATATTTCGTCATTCTCACTGCGGGAACGTTACTTTGCGTTCAATACATATATTGCTGCTGTAATCTTGGCGGCGCGAATGGACGTCTGCGATTGGTCGAAGCGCATGGCGTGATGTTGCGATGGCTGGGCGCGTGCGCAACGTGCCGGCATCGAATCCGCAGTGGTGGCGCCCTCACGCTACGTGGGCCATACGTATCGTAAGATTCGTAAACCTCCGAATCGCATTGACGTAACCGTTCCGTAGGCGAACACACCACGCGATTCTACGTCACGCCGCAATATGAAACGAAGGTCATTGGTCGCTTTGATTAGCTATTCAGAGGCGGTGACGGTTTTCCTAATAAATAACACGGTTACTTGTTTTCATTTCTGACCTACACGTAGCAAGTTCAAGATCAATTCTAGTCACTTTTAATTCGGAAGACACTGATCAGAATTAATTTTTACTAGCAATAGACACATACATTTTTTTTTCTTTCGATATTAGTTTTATAATATTAAAGAAAAGGGCGTATATGATTATACTATACTTAACATTTGATTTTCTCAAATACTGTGTGTTTAAGCGAGTAGTATACATTTAAATAAAAGACTAACGGTTTAATTTAACATTAAATATTAGTTAAACTTATTTAACCACGGCCCGACGTTTCGAATGCATTACATCCCCGCGACCACGGCTGCTGCAAAGCATAGCATGCCGTTATAGTTTATTATTTAAAAGTATTTTTCTTAATATTGTTCCGGCCGTTTAATAGTAACAAATGTTTGAGCCTTACAAATCTTCGCATCCATATTTTTTTAAATTGGATTGAACAATTACAGAAATAAAATAAACAATCTTAAAATTAGATCAATGCCCTTTAATGGGCTACCGCGTTACACATTTAATGATGAACTAGCAATCCACTTACGGGCTCAGTATCTCATATTTCAAAGCCAACGGAAGCACGGAACCAGGCGAGTATTGTAGGTGCCCAGCCAACGGATAGATCGGAATTTAATAGACTGGATAGCTTCTGCAGATGTTTCAATAAATGATCTAAATCTCAGTAATTAATCAAAAGTATTAATGCAAAACTTTCTATCGATATTTGGCACTCACTTGCCTCTAAGTGAGAATGGCTTCCATACCGTAATTTTTACTTTCACTATAAGTAATTTTATATTTCGTGTTTATTAGCCGTGAGAATTTCTGTAACCACTGCTTTTGTGATGTTACTTTGCGTCCATTGTGCACTAGCTGTGTCAGCGACTTCGTCCGCATGCAATAGTTATTTGGGCGTAAAATTTTGTTTTTGGAAATCTCGCACGTCTAATTTTTTTTTAATTATAGCTGTTAGCTATAACGTCGTCCGCGTCCGTTCGTTCTTGCAAGTTAATCTTAAAAATCGTTATCTTTTCCGGACCATTTAAAGAGGAATCATTCTTTCATATTTTGGGTATCTTGAACCGTTTTCGCAGAATACTCAACGGAAACCCACTTGAATGAATTTTTATCCCGTTGTTTCTTCGCTCCTATAAGTCGCATCGCGATATTTTATAACCTTTACCAATAAATGCTCTAACTAACACAAAAAGAAGTCGTTCCTGAGATAAGCGCGTTCAAATAAACGTACAAACTCTTCAGCTTTATACATTAGTTTAGATTTACCTGGCACCTGTTTATTAGCAGAAGTGTTCGAAATATTCGTTTCTTTTATTTTTGACCATACGAAGGCGTTTTATTCGGTCCTACGTGAACTTGCACAAACTTATAACACCGAAAGCCTAAAAACCCTGTGAAAGTCACGTACATTTATACCTCAATAGCCACTTTATTATTATGAATTAAAAGCTTTTGTCGATTCAAACAAAGTAAAAAGAACCAACTTAAAGCTCAGTTAATACTGGGGCTGCAGGAATAATGGTGCCAAGTGTAGGGGACTATCAAAGGAATGATTTATTAAGAGTGTCACGTTGGCTCAAAAGAGTTCGAAATATACGGACGTAAAGAATTAATAGCGCATAGATTTTAATCCTTGAACTGTTGTATTATTAGTTTTTTCTCTAGCGCTTGTTAATAGGAAATAACGATTACAGTACAAAGTACGTATTCTAATTATATTGTATCGTAACATCTACCAATTCCGACTTATGAAAATTTACTTTATTTTTCTTATTGTACAAAATGTCAATGAGATTTTGCTTATTTTTTTTTCATTTCAAATAAATTTTTGTCTAACGGTTTCAAATGTAGCTAAAAAATGTAGGCGAACATATTCCTTTAAATATTTGTATTTGCGTACCCTCGGCTTATCGTGCGCAGCTTTGTTTGTTTTGCAAATCACGCGAAACACACCCATTCGCGTATAATGGTTATATTTGTTTTAATATTATACTATATTTTAATAACGTTTTACATCGATATTTAATTATTATATAACGAGACATACTCGTAGCATTTTTTATGTAAGCCCTCATTGTAAAATTCATTTCGATGATTTTTATTGTAAGAGTATTTGTTTTTAATGTGTTTGTTTTACACGCTAATTAAGTTTCACGGTACACCAGTTTATCAATACCCTTGTTTCGTTATTGAGCTTATCTAGCTATCAGTATATATGATAACGGTTCATTGATTGAAGAGAATTGGCAAAGCAAGGTGCGAAGAATATATTTGGTACTAGCTGACCTGGTATACGTTCTATTGCCATATGAATTATTTTGAAGACAATTTATTCTCATAGGAACGGTTCTTTTGAATGATCTTAGTAGACATATACTGTCGCTTTCGTGTCGTTTCGCTTCTTGTGGTCTTATAGCCGAAAGTCTTCCTCGATAAATGATCTATTCAACACAAAAATAATGTTACAATTCGAACCAGTAATTCCGGAGATTTGCGCGTTTAAACAAACAAACTCTTTAGATTTATAAGCATAGAATTAAAATAAAAAGCCATGGAACCTTTGTATTGTTTATTTGTTTGTTTATATTTATCTATAACAGGACCCGTCGCAAGGTTATAAGGTATGAAATATATCCCAAATTGGTTTTGTGAGATGGCCGAACCGCAATAATCTGTTTTGAGACGTTTTTTTGTATACTGTCTATAGTTTACGCGAGTAGTACACATTTAAAACGCGATATATCTTAGTTAAACTTATCCGTCGCCCCGTGACCACGCAAAGCATCCAAAACGTCGGGCCGAAGTTAAAAATAACTTTCAAATAATTTTAACGTTTGTAATTAATCAACACTAACAAAAATACACACTAAGAAATGGACCAAACATCTTATCTGTGCATTTGAAGGTTTTAATACATTATTATTTTATTAATTCCAATTTCATAAATGCGGGCAGTCTAATTGCCTTTTAGTTGCTGTGTCACTTTAAAAAATGCAACGTAATCATAGGAAATACAAATAATGATTAATAGTTTGTCTCAAAAACTTTTAGTATAAGATATTTAACCGTTATTATATTATTAGAGGGCTAATTGAGGAAACCGCGTAAATATTGAAGAAATATAAATAAGACTATAGAGCGAAATAAGTACAACTATTTATGTTGGCGTTGACTTCAACAAACAACTATATTTTAGACTTTAGTTATTACTATTTTACTTTTAGTTATAAAGCTAGTTAATACTAAAAGGCTTTATTTTTTTATTACGTCTTCTGTTCAGTCGTTATGTTGAATTGTGCATTGTATTGAATGCGTCAAGTAACGTGTTTAGATCCTGGGGAACTCCATAAGAGAGCTTTGGCATTTTTTGATAGTATATATTAGTTTTACAAAGTTGGATTTAAAAGATTTTACGACACGGGCAGGGCTTGAACCGGCCTCCACAGCGTTCCGTGCTGTTGCTCTAAGCGCGCGGTACACGGTAGCTTAACCGGTTCAAAGCCTGCGCGTGTCTTATTATTTTTTTAACCTAAAATCGAATTTTTAATTATAGTACTCTCCATTCGGGTACCATTATGGTATAATACACCACGATCACCTTAGACATTTCATGCTTTTCCCCGAAACTTGCGAAGTTTTAATTAAAACAGGTTAGGAGTTCCGGTTAAATTCGCTTCTTAGCGAGTGGTGGGCAGTCACCTCCACAAGGTCAGATTTAAGGTTGCATGCTGTAATTATAAATAAAAAATCGACAGTCAAGAAACAATTTAAAAAATACATTGAACGTTCATGATTTATAGCTTTATGTTTTAAGAGGGACAGCGCATTCTTATGGCTAATAACAGCACGTCACTGATTTTTTGTTCTATCTGTAACGCATTTTTATCCATATATTTAATTCAATGATATGTACTTGTAATTTAAATACTGTCTGTAGTTTACGAGAGTAGTACACATTGAAATAATACATATTACATTTTAAACCGTTAAACGTGGTTTTAGTTAAATAGTTTTCTATTTACTTAATTAACTCACAGCCACAGCCCCTGTAAATTTTTCTTTTTGTAATTAATTGTTTTTAAAAATTCGTTTTTTTCTTTCTCCAGGTGTCCTAAATGATGTCAAGAATGAGTTTGGAATCGGCGACGACAAAGCTGGCCTACTGCAGACGGTGTTTGTGGTCGCGTACATGGTGTTTGCGCCGATCTTCGGCTACCTGGGCGACAGGTATTCGCGGCGGGCTATAATGGCGGCTGGAGTCGCCCTGTGGAGTGCCACGACGCTTATTGGTTCTTTCATACCGGTATGTACTCTTCTTACATGGCCTTAGGCGCTGCTTTTCACATTTTTGATGTTGGTTTTTGGCCCGAAAACCTTTGCAGAGTGGGCACCTCCACTTTGGTCCTTATACAGTATTTGAGACTGAGTGTGCCGAATACCATTTTTTGACTACCATTAAACCTGACCTAATCATCGTATCATGAATGTGAAATGGACGAGATTTAATACCCAAAAATAGTAATATAATTTATTTGATTGCTTGTTTCATCAATGTGGTTTTCATCACGAGATATTATATGTTTATAATTTACAAATGTTTTATTCCATACATGTAATTATATCTATCAACGGGAAATCCAAAGTGGGATTTGATTAGGCTCGGTGGCGTTATTGGTTGTCAGTCGGGTTTTGGAATCGAACCATATTATGTCATGTTTAATTATTATTATCTGTGGTATCGTCTCGTGTCCCGCGTAGAGCATGGTTTGGACACAATTTTGTATTATTTTTAATTCTGTTTGATTGACGAGCAAGCATTTAAACAGCTTTTTATGGTCCTGGAAGGACTTTACTATTATCCCTCTAATTCGGGACCTTAACGGCCATGGTAGGGGTACATCCTGCCGATATAATAAATATGATTTCAATTAGGTTTATATTTTGATAGGGTAACCTTACTTTTAACAAGACTGTCTCGAAACGTATTCTCAGGTTTTATATAGGGAATCTTTGTTTACAGGACTTTACGACTTTTGCTGTGTTCCGAGGGTTGGTCGGTATTGGTGAAGCGTCCTATTCAACCATCGCACCAACTATTATCAGTGACCTCTTCGTAGGAAATGTACGGTCCAAGATGCTTGCGTTCTTCTACTTTGCAATTCCAGTTGGAAGGTGAGTCTAGTAGATATTTTAAAAATATATTTTAAGACACATTTTCGAGATTTGATAAATGTTGATGACTTAAAGTTCATAATTCTTATTAAGATTATATGTGACCACTTCAAAACCTTGATTAACCTGTATTGTGATAGCCGCCATTTTGTAGGTGTATGCGCTCTGATTTCGTAGAATATAGCGTGATTGAGATAAAATATGACCGCGTGCGGTTTGTCTAAAACAAAAATACTTGAATTTTTCTAAATAAAATCTAAATAAATTTTAATAATACCTTTCGCGTTTTAAACCGTTAAAGTGTTTTATTTAACTATTGTACTCGCGTAAACTACAGACTCAATTCTTCTGCTTCGAAAAAAACCGATAAACTTTTTCTTTCTTTTGTTCCGTGAGTCGTGATGCTTAGGAGTGTGATAAACTTCTAGAGATCGTACATTTTCCGTTCTTGTGTAATTAAGTATACAAAAAAAGCAGAAATGTATTAAATATTAAACGCGAAGCGGAAATATATGAATCACAAGATCACGTCATTACGTCATTAGACATAAACATCAGGCGAGACAGATTTGCTGTTGACATTCGATTATATCTTGGGTGATTGAACTTAACGGGTCATCAATAAGTCCGGTCAGTAATGATAATCGATGGAAAAGTCAAATCCCGAAGATCGCAAGTGGAACTTTACTCGATCGGATGTTTTTTTTACACGTCATGTGCGCCGGTGGGCCGAGTTAGCGCAAGATCGATCGATAATTGTGTCTAATTTTAGATGTTTACGCGTAATTTATTGGCGCTAAATGATGTTTTGATTAGTTTATCTTATGCCGTATGTAACCAGTATTATTTCTATTATTTATTGTTAACACCGTTAAAAACATTGATTATATTGCTTTATTTAACTTAAGATTTAAAAAAATGTAACCCGAACAGGACTCGGAAGCTTAGTAGACAAAGTTCAAATTTTGTTTTAATATCAGTAACATTCTAGTGCTCGTAAGGTTTGACATTAGGGAACAGCTCTGTTTCGCCGTTTGGCTAATAATATTTTCGATTACACAAGTATCTTATATAAATAGCTATATTATACATAAAAAACATCTTGTCTAACAAATTTTGAAACAATGGGAGGAAATGCTATTTGAGACTATCGGATCAGCAACAAGTTAGTATCAATGGAAATGACACGTAAACAAATACACAGTAATAATGAGAATGCCCGTTCAGCTATGTACTCATTCCCTTCGCCATTTGAGGTCGATTGTAATAACTAAGTCTAACCATTTGTGATGACGTACGTCAAAATATGCGTGCGTGGGCGTAAACTTAATTAAGATGTCAATTACACGTACCGCTCTCGATTATACGTCTTGAGGATATCCTGCGAGTGTCGGCGACATTCCTAATGGAAATAATTTAGGGGAGACTGCGCTGAGGATTTTTTATTGATCTCACCGAAGCATAGGATATAAATAGCGCGTGATCAAACATGCTGTTTTAGGATCGTTGGAAATCTGTGATCGAACAATATTTTAATTTAAAGATATGTTTAAATAATAAAAAATCTTTAATATATAAATAGCTCATTTCAGAGGCATGAACTTGCTGTTTTAAGACTTCTATTATAAGCAACTTGTTCAGTGTTGGATAATTTAAAATCCAACGATATTTAAAATCAATGATATGTTTAAAGAAAACACTTTAACGGTTTAAAACGCGATATATTAGTTAAACTTACATTTCCAAATAAGTTTAACTAATATATCGCGTTTTAAACCGTTAAAGTGTTTTATTTAAATGTGTACTACTCGCGTACGGCGTAAACTATAGACAGTATTTAATCAATGATATGTTTTAATTTAAAAAATTGAAATTAATTTTAGATACATGAGCTATGTACAGAAAACAAAATCTTATTTTTTTAAATTAAAAAAGCAGTCATTCACAATATACTTTCAGCAACTTAACTTTTATGTGTAAAATATATGTATCTATAGATATTTAGCGTTTTCGTGTAAACTACAGATAGGGCAAAATTTTTTTATTCAATTGATTATATGACAAATGATATCAAACGGTTATTTGTTTAGCGATTGGCTTGGTTAACGTTGTCGACCTACATTTAACTAACGTAGTTATCACAATATCAGTTTTGCAATCAGTGACCAGGGCCAGAGCATTTAATAATCTAACGATTATTATTTTTTATTAGTTTTATTTTACTTACCGCTGTATTTTAGAAAATCATACCCACTCTGCAAATATTAATACTTTTTGTTTATTTCAGCGGTTTTGGATACATTGTGGGTTCCGTCGCCGGGGCAGCGGCAGGCGACTGGAGATGTGGTCTCCGTGTAACGCCATTCTTGGGTGCCGCTGCGGTTGCCCTCATCGTATTCATCATGGAGAACCCGGAGAGGGGGCTGGCTGAAGACTGTCACATGAAACCGACATCGTATCAGGACGACTTGAAGTCTTTAATTAAAAAGTAATATGCTTTATCAAACACAAAACGTGCTTTCAGAATTCCCATGCCAGTCTTTGAAATGATTACAAATGTTAATTTAACCATTGTTATCTTTGAACCATAACAGGTTACTTCCATGATTACGTTCACTGCACCTTACCGCGTTATTACCGTTTGAAGTAAAAACATAATATAATACGGATATACTTTTTCTGAATCTGCGTCAATCAATAAATGTGGATCACGCATGTCATTATTAATGATACGTGATTCAAAGTCATCGTTTTTACCTGTATTAGGCGATGGATAGCTACTTAGTAATAGGGAAAATATTTTTGGGGTTTTCTTGTCAAAATGCGGACTTTTAAAAAACGTACATTATATAACTTATGTTTACGTGTTCCTTTTTCAAATCTTCTTTGCAGCCCTTCGTTTATGCTGTCATCTATTGCGTTTACGTGCGTGGCTTTCGTGACTGGTGCTCTGGCGTGGTGGGGCCCCGATTTCATATATATGGGTCTTATAATGCAGCCCGGCGCGGACATCACTCTTGACAGGTTCGTTATAGTCTGTAGCGTTAGGAAAATCAAATACAATAGACAATTGTCAAAATTTATTCTATTTTTTATCTATAATTTCGTGATGTTCCTTAAAATTTCTTAGCCACAAGATGTTCCGATGCTTCCGATGTTGTCATTCGTATCTTCGTGATAAACTTAACGAACTGCTTTCACACTTAACAAATTTCTATCGTACAAACGATGACTAAGTACGCAATGTGTATAAGTGCTTCTGGACACAAGTAGCTATTATTCTCTTCCGATCGATTTATCGGACTAAATATATTTTCCACGACAGACTGCTGAATCAGACGTTAGTACTATGGATGAATTACGTGTTTATATGTAGTTACTAGTTAGTATTTTAAGACGTGACGCAGATCGATGTTTATTATTGAGAATTGTCGCGCTGGGCGTACGCATCAGTGAAAAAAAATAGATATTACAGAAACACTAGTTCAGTCCTTTAACCGTTACTAATTCTAGGATTCGAGGCTTCGACGAGGAACGTGTCTCATCCTTTATGAGAATTGATGCTGTCTAATTTTTGGTTCTAGGACAAGTTTCCGTACTTAGTGGACAGGTTAGAAATAAAAACATTTTATTTTTTGTTCCACCACCATTTACCGGTGTTGTACTAAAATACGAACAGTTGTACCACAATTCTCAATAAGTAGACTACACTCTGAGTGACGTATTGGATAGGCCTAGAGTGAGGTTATGAGGTTGTACGCAGCGTGTCCTACAAGTTCGGGCTGGTCGGTATGCTGGCCGGGACTTGCGGGGTGCCGCTGGGCTCCGCCCTCGCCCAGCGCCTCCGCGCCCGCTACCCCGACGTGGATCCGCTGCTTTGCGGCTTCGCGCTCCTCACTTCGGCACCTCTCGTCTACTTCGCGCTCGTCGCGGTCACGGCCCTCCCGGCCTTCACCTATTTGCTTATCTTCCTCGGAATGGTCACTCTCAACCTGACCTGGTCTCTCGTCGCCGACATAGTCCTGGTGAGGGTCGAGATAACGATCCGACAATGTACTCATGTCTAGGCTAGCTTCATTAACGACTCATTCATACTAATGGTGCATGATGGCCAGAACGGCCGATGCTTGGATGTGCATTTTACTTTTAGTGCTAGATTATGTATGTCTGTGACAACTTTGCAGAGGGCCGACCCAACAGATGGCCTTTAGTCAATGCAACGATAAATCTACTGCGCGACTTGTCAAAATTACCGTAAAACGCTGCAAATTTGTCGCAAACACATAGGCTAAAATAGGCCAATGACACCGGCCCATACTGACAGTTAGATGTTACCAAGGGTGTCTCTTATCTTCGGCGGGATCACGATGTTGTCTGGCGTGGTGGGCGTTCCACTGGGGGCGTGGCTCGGCTCCTCACTCATCAAACGCTTCCCGCGGTCGCATCCAATAATTTGCGGGATCGGACTCCTCATCTCTGCGCCGCTGATGACCCTCGCGATGGTGCTGTGCGAAGGATACTTCTACGCGCCGTTCGTGCTCATGTTTTTCGGGGAGGTCGCTTTAAACCTCAACTGGGCAATTGTCGCTGATATGTCACTGGTAAGATTATTGTCCTAGCATTTCGGTTTGAGGTTCTTATTTTTTATCTGGACCCTCGGTTTTCTATACTTTGTTTAATATAGGAAGATATATTTTGTATACTCAAATAGACAAATACTCAAATATACGTAACAAGACTGGGGTAACCTTCTATAAAGTGCACCCCGAGCTTGTCTAGCCTATGGCTTAAAAGCACACGTTTGACCTCTTCTTCCCATATTTTACAAGGTGTCGTTGTTTAAAAACACTACTGATTCTTCTAGATAGATGTAAATTTACCGAACCACAAACTAATGCTATACGGGTAGTGCATTGGCTTTCTCGAGTATTCGGGTGGGCTCATGAATTCTTTACACACAAACATTATACTTTCATATTTTGTATGTAAATATTAGTATCTCGATGCGTGTCTGCGCCGCGTTGAGATTTGTGTGTACAATGCATCTAGTGTGAATTGTAAATAGATTAGCAGCATTTTCTTTTCACTTAGGAAAGCCAAGTGCACAAACTTAGCTGTATCTTAGTCGTTATGTACTATAGTTATAAACTAATTAACATAGACGCATTGGGGTAATTAAGTTAATTTCAGTCACTGTATGTTTGTAGCGATGTAATATCATTGCATGTAAGCACAAATAGGTTAATGTTAAGACAACGGGTTTGCAAGCATTTAATTCGCAATTCATTTCGCAACGCATGATCACTTGAAACCAGTCATACATGAGTACATTGTTTCGTTGATTGAAGAAAGTCGTTATCTCCTTTTTTTATCATAAATGTACGATCTGGTTTCAAGTTTTTGCAAAGTAGCGACATCTGTTGGCAAGGTCAATAAGCGCGATGTGGTTCAATGACGTTGCGAGTGAGATAGCAGTCTTAATTAGCATCTTACGCAATAGATGGCGCTCTTTGCAAAAGTTTTCAAACTGGTTATCGATAAGGCTTTATTTTTCTTTGCTTTTTAAATAATACCTTTAATAAGAGGTTCTCTTTGATCTATTGAAATCAACTAATGATTATACTAGTCGTTCAAGAAGCAATAAATTTTACGCACGATCGAACAATGAATTCTTTAACCATATCGGTTTCAAAGACATGCTAAATGTTTGCTGTTGTAATTATTCCTGTTGTATCTACGCTATAATATACGCTCAAAGAAACTTAATTGCATTTTTATGTTTCAACAGTACGTTGTGATTCCTCCGAGGCGGTCGACAGCAGAGGCATTCCAGATTTTAATATCCCACATGTTTGGAGACGCTGGCAGTCCCTATCTTGTTGGTGTGGTGAGTTAACTATATGTTTCTGATATACATCTAGGTCGATACATTTTAGTACAATATTATTTATTAAGGTCCGGCGTTCGTTCTTATTTTATGTATGTATATTTATTTATGGAGTAAGTATCTTCTTACATTATAAAGTTGTAGAGTTTATTTGTTTGCTTGAAGGCGCTAATCTTAAGAACTAGTGGTTTGAAAATTATAGTTGATTATCAATACGAAAATTGTAAGTGATGGTTAGAGCATTTATCGAGGAAGGCTTAAGGGTATAAAACATCACGCTTCGACTAATAGGAGCGAAGTAACAGGGGAAATTGTGGAAAAAATATCGCAAAGATTACAATTTATCCGTTCCGTTGCTTGTGCTGCAAAAACATGATACCCAAAAAATATATATAAACGAATGATTCTTCTTTAAAGTCACGGACGATATCGGGGGTATCAGTTATAGTTTATAAAGAAGTGGAAGTTTGCAAAGATACATTTTTACGCCCATAACAACTATTCTACGCGTACAAAGTCGCGGGCACAGCTAATCCTACAATATATGTACTTAGCGACTTGTGTTTCAAATTTATTTGATACAACGTATACTAAAGATACTTACATAATGTTTAATATTTATCATTTACTTTATAGATTTCGGAAGCGCTAAAGCGTTACTACTCAACACCGCAAGAGCCGGCGAGTCAGAGTGCCAAGTTCCGATCCCTTCAGTACGCGCTATTCGTCACATGCTTCGTAGAAGTCATCGGCGGTGTATTCTTCCTTATATCCGCGTTATACATCGTTAGAGACAAAGCCAAAGTGGATAGAGCTATTGCCGGTAAGATTATTTTATAGCTTGCACTTTACGATACTTTTTAGAACGCCTTTTACATCATTGAGGGAGCGGTTTAACGTGAGTTGAGCATGAAATTGGAAACAATTGAAATAGTCTGTTGTTTTTTTCCTAATATATGAATATAATCTGTGTAGGAAAGATATTGTCTACCCTGTTACTATCTGTGGTTAACCTTTATTCGTTCTAGCACGCTTCCAGTAACTAACCAACTGCTGTTGCTCCACTTAGCTCTATATAAATCAGTACCGTGCATAGTTGTTATTGATGCATGTTTATTATTATATTATTATTAGCTTCATTATTTTTAGTTTTGTGAGAGTAGTGCGCTTATATGCGTCTTTACCTTGTTTCAGTTACTTCAAAAATAGTTTAGGTGAGTGCTATAGCTGCTGCCTCGCTTTTGCACCTTTTGGCTTTAATTTTCATCAGTTAATATAAGATGCATTAAACTATACCCATAGACGTATGGGAATTGACTAAAACCTCCAGTTTAATAAGGAGCATAGATATACCTAACACCGGAATCAGTACACACTTGACAAACTCAGCTTTATTCATTTCATATTTTCTGTGGTTAATCAGCCGGGTTGTGTGCTATCCATTTATAATTTAAATTATCTCTTTTCAGAGGCCGAAGCCCAAAATGCCGAGCCATCACACAGTAATGCGCAAGAAGAAGCCTCCGTCGGTGAATAACTTAAGCGCAAATATCGTTCGCTTATACTTATGTAGATCTGTACGGGCCTGTAGTTTCATTAATTTCGATTTACATTATTTAAGTAACGATTTACCCCTGTTGCCGAGGCAGCGCTTACTTTTGTATAAACGTTGCCATGGCAACGCGTTGCGTGAAATAAATAATATAGAATCGGACTAGGCCTTTTAAGTAAGCTTCTTACGTAAGTAACTTATGTCTACTTACGATTTGACTTACGACCTTATGTGTGCAGATAATAAAACTCGCAAGTTGTTTAGGCTACTTACATAAGAAAACAATGGCTTTAGTTTCTAGCTTCAGCGTTACAAATATGTAGTTAATTCCCAAATATGAGCTAGGGACTAGATTTTAAAGCGGCTGTGTTAAGCTGGCTTTACAGCCATGTGTATTAAGTTCAAACAAACATCCTATTACGGACAACGATTAAATTTCAATATTTCCCCATTCTAATCGTCCTTAAATAATGTCGACAAGATTTACCACAAAACAAGTAATTTTAATTATTCAAATATTATCTACTTAAAAACAACGCCTAATACGCATGGCTGTGTCACAGTGTGTAATAAACACATTAAATGTAACGATTGTCGTCGATCGATGCCGAAGAAGACTGATTAAGTATGCACAGCAAATAGTATGGGTTATGAAGAGAGGGACGAATTCTGTGTCTCCAAGTATTAGGCATCACATTACATTAATACCCTCGTGCCTGTAGATAGATTGTAAACCCGCGTCCTGTAGGACGATAATTTTAAGGGCCGCGTACACTTGATTTAGCTATGTACATTATAGCTAGGACTACCGATTTTACTTAATTACTTTTACTAATTATCTCTTAAATTAGTACTTTAATAGTTTAAAATGCAAAATTTTGTAGCTGTGGTCACCATATTCAGTCTGGGCTAATATATTTTGCGTTTTAAACCATTAAAATGGGTTTTTTAAATGTATAGTTCTTACAATTTTTTTTTCTATGGTCCAAGCAGATGCCGTATCTTCCTTCCTTTTGCTAAGTTTGAAGTAAAGCTCCATATTGGGGACTAAATATTACCTAACTAGATTCAAGTGTGGGCGTTGCCCTAAGTAGCACCTCAATTTATACAAATACATCCATATATTTATTTGTCAATATTTAATTATTACCTCAAGCACTTGTTACACAAGGATAGAGACGTTTATTTATTTTGTTTTGTGTTAACCAATATAATATATGAAGTATTAAATTATTATGATCAATGCAAAATTTCTTAATATCTGTTGTATTCTTGCAGTTTAACAATTTGCATAGTAAAATGTAGTTGAATGCGTTTTTTACAGATGATAAATGTCGACTGTAGGTTATTTTATTTATTTTTGTTCGTTTAACTGTTCATAAATATTTTTAGATAGATAGAGAAAACTAATTAATCTTTAAAATATTTGAAGATAATGTGTGCTAAATTTCTCAAAGGTGGCCTGCTGATGAATGAAAATTACTTAAGTGAGGAAAGATGATCCGAAATAAGTCAATTATGCATTTATTATGATTTATGTTAAAATCAATAACTATGTAATTTTAGTTAATTTTATTTCCCTCTTTAAATGACATCGCTATTTCTTCAATTAAATATAATATGTTGTATTGTGAATGCAAAGTTAAACTGTAACGAATAACAATCAAGACTGAATCGATTAAAATTCCTAATAATGAATAGTGAAGTTGTTTTGTAAATATCGTGTAAAGTATTGAAGGGAATTGAAAATAAATGATTAATTTATTTTTGAATACTATCGTTTTATTTTCACCACAGATAAACATTATAAGTATACCTGTATCAAAATCAATCTTGTCGATAAAACGCAGATATAATTACTGTTTTACAAAATAATAAGTCCCAAAAGTTCCATAACAAACATTATTTTTTTTAAATCATATTACAATCACAAATAATTACTGGTCTGAGACATTGTTTTCATACAGGTCATATCTTTATGAAAACACTAGAAAACAACCAATACAATAAAAAACAACCATAATTAGGTCGCAAAATTAACAATTAATTATTGTCAAAATAACTAATTTCTATATTATACGGTGGGTTTGAGGTAGTCGTTAACACAAATAATTTCTATTCTAAAACCTATCACAATAGTAATTTACTATTAAACATCTCAAATCATATCAATTTTTTAAATCTTAACAGCTGTTTATTTATAATATTGACCCTGTCAATATTGTAATTATAAAAAAAATTAAAACTTCACAAAACAACATAACATGACGCAATTCTGCGGTCTAGGTATCTTTTCTCTACAAGAAATTTGCAACAAAAATACTGGAGCACAATGCACGCAACTTGTTACAAAAATTTCTACTCACTTTAAGGCTAAGTGTTAAAGACACCTTATAAGCAATTTACTTATTTAACTAATCAAATTAAGTACTCACAGCCATTTCGTAGAAACTTGGCTTTCTGGAAGTTATTTTTTTAAATGTCGAAAACTCTCAGATTTTTTAAAATATATGCTGTACGAGCAGTATTATAACTAAGATATCCCATAGAAAAAGTTTTCTATAACTATGTCAAAATTATTAAGTATGAAGTCAAGCTTTCTTAACAGAAGCACCAGGAGTCAGTATCCATCCGGTGCCCGAATTTTAGCCTCAGTAAATCCAAAAATAAAGCCTAAAAAACATTATTCGTCAGAATAGCAACTGTTGGCTGAACTGGTATCTTCATTGTCCTCGTCCACCTTTGCCCGTTTCGATATAGGTTCAGCTGAGTTCGACGTGTCACTAAGCGGCCGTTTACCGACTGCAGCTAGTCGCACAACTGATACTTGTGGAATATTATTGTTCTCCTCGTAACCGCTCTTCACTTGACACTTCGATAGCAGCATGTCAAGCTGTAAGTTCACTTCACTGTCCTGTGAATATCAGTTTTTGTACAGCATTTAACGAACAATAGGACAGGTGTGGTCTGAGTTACTACTAATTATGCTTAAAGATTTTGTCGAGCCCTTTAGTTTATCAGTTTGGCGGTCAACAAAATGCGCATTATGGACCCTACCACTGAGTTTTTCTTCTGTCTCGTACAAAAAGAGTACAGCTGTTCCGTGAAACTCACATGAAAATAATATTAGTATTTTTTTGTGCGAATATAACATAAAAAATTATCGATATTATTAATTATCCTTACCTGCATCCAAGGATGTTTTAGAATTTGGTCAAGTGTGATTCGCTTGTGAACATTAACTGTTAACATTCGCTTCATGAGAAGCTTGGCCTGCAAGCTGACGTCACGCCAATTCGATGAAGAGTACCGGTATCTCCCACTTAGGATCTGCTCGGTAAGAGAGAGATCTTTGTAATCAGGAGAGAAGGGGAGGTAGCCCACGAGACTGTAAAATAATTCTAAATTTACATCTTCACTTTAACACCATGTTAAGTCAGAAAAAACGTCATTTTCTTAATAAACTTGTGTAACTATTAGAACATAATTGGTTACACAAGCATAAGCACAAGCAAAATTAAGCAAAGGATATCAAATGTATTCTAAGAAAACTAATGCTTGGTCAAGCCATTTTGATAACTATGTTATCAAAGTTGCCTTTGTTATGGAAAACAAATTGAAGTACAATGTACAATTGTATTTAACTATGTAAAGATTAAATACTTGTACATTGGACAGTGAATAAATTTTGTAAGGCTTTCACGGCCATCATTCAGCATATCATTGTTTTTCGGGCTGTTCGGTCACGTCTGCCGAACAGCCCGAAAAAGCGAGGTTCTCGACATTTCGCCATCACAAGCTGACGGCATTGGCAGATGTTCCTCTTCTCGCTCACGTCGGCCCGAAAAACAATGATAGATTGGACAGTGAAGTTTCGAAGTTTCTTCATACAAAGTACATAGAAATCTTGCAAATACAGAAACCAAACTAATAAATGTAATATAAATAACTTCTTGCTTTAAAAATACTAATAACATACATACCAGATGAAGAATATAACACCCAAGCACCAAACATCCACTTCAGGTCCATAATAACCAACTCCATTGGCTCTTAAGACCTCAGGAGCTAGGTATATTGGAGTACCACACAATGTCTTCATAAAGCTGTCTTCGCCGACATATTTGCTTAGTCCAAAGTCTGTTATTTTTACAAGTGTCACTTCTTCCTTACTCTCAAGTAGCACATTCTCAGGCTATAAGGAGAAATGAGAGTAAAATAAAGATATTTTTCACAACAAAAATTGTCTACAAGGAGTTAAGACGTTTATATATGACTTTTTTTATAGCAAAGGAATAACAAGAAGGAGTTCTCTGCATACCTACAAAATGAATTAAAAACCCTTTTCTACATTGAATTTGCTGTATTTTTTTTTACTGCACTCAAACTTGCATTGGAAATTGTTGAGTAACTCACAATATCTAGACTTCCAAAAGATAAAAAAAAATCATCAGGCTATTACTGACACAAGACAAGCCAAGGTGAACTTACTCACGCTAACTTGGTTTGAAATAATGGAATATTTCTTACTTTAAGGTCTCTGTGAGTGATGCCTTGAGAGTGTAGGTATTTGACAGCTAGCACTATCTGTTTAAAATATAACTTGGTCATTCGCTCAGTGAGCCGTCCATTCTTTGTGATGCGGTCAAAAAGCTCTCCACCATACATGAATTCAAGGACTATGTACACTGATTCTCGTGAATCAAACACTTCTTCTACTGTTGTTATACAGGGCTGCAAGAGTTAAAATAACTTTAACACAAAATGGGCAGGCGTTGGACAGTTGATTAGGCTTCTGTGGCTGGATGACCACAATTTATTGTTATCTTAGGAGTCAAGACCCAAGACACCACTTCCTTTCTGGATATAAGATAATTTTTTATTCTATTTAATTTCATACTTCTTTATATAAAAAACTTTTATAAGCTAATTGTAAATATTATTAATAAATTTATATATAAGAATCAATTAAGCTTGTCAAGGGTTACAATGGGGTGAGTTATACACAGTAAACTAACTTTAAAAGGTCAGTTATAGATGGTACTTACATGTCTTAAAGCTTTTAAGATGTTAACCTCGTTCATTACTTTAATAGGGTCAGTTAAGTTATTAATCTGTCCATTTGTCAATCTACCCTTCTTTATTATTTTCATTGCATATTTCATGCATGTTACCTAAAGAAACATAAAGTAATAGAAGAAATATTGTCTATTTAAATACCATTTCGTTTATTTATAGCCCTGTCTATAAAACATTAGAACAACAATTACAGTAAAATACTTTTGAATTGTTTTTTTTCAATTTAATAGCTGTTTTTTAATAGAGAACAATATCAAAAGATATGCTATCAACCTCATTTACAATTGGATTTGAAAGCAGAGACTGAAACCAGCTATCATTCATTTTAATATCTTAATAAATTGAATATAGTTAATTATTGAAAAATTAAAATATTTTTCAAATGTGCACATGATGGCACTATATAAATTAAAGATTGATAATAAATATGTATTATATATAGACTTAATAAGAAACTTACTTTATTGTAAACTAATTTGACTGTTCCGCAAGCACCTTGTCCCAATACCCTAGAAATGTAATACTTCTGTGCAATTTCCTTAGGTACTTTTTCTTGTTCATTTTTAAGCAGATCTTTGAATGTGAACACTGGAAATAGATATAAAAATACAAAAATATTTGGTTAATCATAATTTTGTAGTGTTCATTTAATTAAATGTTTATTTGATATAAAAATGATAGAAAATAGTCAAATAATAATAATTACTTTTGATAAAAGGCAAAGTAACAGATATCACATCATCATTGTCTAGTACTCTACTTTTTCCTCTGCCTATAATAACACCGTTAACATAAGTCCCATTGTATGATAGGTCCGTCAAAATTGCTGGATTTAATGGCTCACTGAAATTAAAATTATATTTGAAAACAATAACTTAAACAAAGCTCTGTTAAGACAAGAGCCATGAAATAAAAAATGATAAATCATTAATAAAATTCACTTAATTTATATTAATACTTACGCCATGTCTCTCTTTATAATAAAGTGTCTCTTGCTGATATTTTTTATTATCAATTCCTTGATGGTGTCTTTACGTACTATAAAAGTATTGTCAACACTTCGTCCAACTGAGAATTGGGGTTCTATGAGATCTAAAACACAATTAATTTTATTTACTGAATTATCCTTCATGTAATTAACACTCCAGTAGAAGGTAGATTAAAATTACCGTAATATGCATCGAGCTTCTTAACGCCATCGGTTCTCCAACACGAAAGAGGATAGAGCCTGCCCCAAATATTTGGTATTGTAGACGGCGTATTCGTCTGACTCCATTCAACTTGGGAATTTTGGGTTTGGGTCTGAGTCTGGGTGTCGTTTATTTCCTCTTCCATTGTTGCTAAACTTTGGTTTACTGAAAATGACTTTACAGGTTTACGGGCGTTACCTACGAAACAAATTTAGCCATTTGTAGCGAATAATATAAACGATCTTTAAGTGCCAACGCAAACTACTGTTAAACTTTTAAAAAATCCTAAACAAACGGCTCCAAAAATAAAGTGAAGCGAGATTTATCACAGATACACGAAAGAAGTTTTAAGTTTGCCATGTACCACAGACTTTTGACAGTTTAATAAAGAAGCTCACGCAATATAAGACTATATATTTTTTGCGACCGGCCAAACCAGAAACCGAACAATGATTTCACTATATATAGTAATAGTATAAAACTAATCAGTAGCTGATTTTTACATTAATAATCGTACATAATAAAAGATATTTGAGAATATGAAGAACAAGATGTGCCACTAAATTTTATAACAGACAGACTAACAGAGTAAATATCATATCTTTTTATTATTAATGTTTAAGAACATTTTGCCCCTAATAAAAAGATATTTCACACCTATTACTTGAAAAAATAAACTATCCTGATCACAATTCATCCTTTTCGACTATTTTCATTTAAATCTGTCATTTTTTAATCTCTATTATTTTTAATTGAATTGCCTCCACCTGTCTGTAGGTATAAGACACTATCAAAATGAGCAATTATTTAATAGAAAAATCGGACAAAGTAAATAAAAAATTATAACATTAAAAATTGCTTTTACTTATATAAAATTATGTTACGTCAGAAAAACACGCAGAGTCAATCAATGGAATTTTAGGTTAAGCTTTAAATCGGATTTATTGAGGAAGTTCATATTGTTATTAAAGTTTTAATGAACAGGGATAAAAACGATCACGTGCTACAGACACGAATCTATGTCATCTACGTGTCACGTTGGGCTATGCTTTATAAGGAATGCTTACTTAAATAAAGCATTTTTAACGCTTTAAAACGCGAATTGTATGAGTTAAATTTATTTACAAATTATTACAACTACTGCCCGTTTCGGATACTTTGCAGCAGCCGTGGTGGGGTGGGGGGACTATTATTTTAAATGCCTGTTCACTTCTTCTTATAATATTATGTTTCTTTTATGTTATGAGTATAAGGAGGTGAATAATATTTCGTCTAGCCGATATAACGATAGACGCCACAACCCGCTGGGTTAAAGACGATATTCGTCTATAAAATTGCTTATTTGTATAAAGCACCAGATTGCTCCTATACATCATTATTGCTATCATTAAAGCAATACAACCAGTTAAGAATACATAAAAGGCTTACTCGTGTAACAAATCTATTATACACTTACTTCTGTACTACCTTTGTTGTTATAATGTAAATAAAGAAATAAATATCATAGGATTTTGAAGGTTCACATTTAATCATCATCATCTTAACATGATATTAGGATGATAGCAAGTTTTAAAATATTGCCTTCAATTTGGACTGTATATTACCTAGATAACACAGTACCATATTTTTTATTTATTTTAAACATTAAGAACATTTAGGCATAAGAATGAACTTGGAACAAAAAACTCCTTATGTAAATAATTCTCAATGAACTTTGCTAAATTTATTTAAGTATTCGTGTCTGTCTACCACCGTCTCGCAACGTGACTCCTTTGAAGTCCGTAATTTGATCTAATACATCAATAAACGACTACGTACATTCGATCCTCTCGCTTCCTTCTAAGCGAGTACGGAGAGTTCTCTGTAAGGGTGTTATCACATTAGCGCGCAACAAATGCGTCGCGAATACGTTGCAGCTACACAGTTTAATTGTTGCGGATTGAAACTGATTCGTAGCACACTGGTAACGGTTTTCTCCTCGAGGAAACATTAACGAACGACAAAAACGAAGTCGCTGCGCTTGCGCTGCCAATGGCCTAAGCACGAACATTTTGACGTACGGTAGTGTGAATGTTTCGAGTTGCCTATTTATCGCAATTTGTATTCAAATACAAATTCTTTATTCACCAAAATTGTGTATATTTCATTTAGGGTGTGCTAGCCCCCACACTAGGATTCCATGTGTCGTGGGCGGCTAGGCTCTTCTGGTGCATTTCGAGAAAAACAATGAAAAACTTAGTAAACTTATAAAGTAATTATATGCTAAGTATTTAAATAATAAAAAAATAAACTTAAAAATATGGAAAACATTTTGTCATACAATTACATTAATACAATTTTCTGTTTGAGTATAATTTCATTTTAGAAGAAACACTTTAATTTTATTTAATTAGAAAGAATAAGAAGTAAGTGGGCTAATTATATTTTTATTAATAAATAAGTTAAGCAGGAAGGGACCTTTAAAAGTAAAAAATCGTTGGGCAAAAGAGGTGTGTTTGAGTGGAGTGCGGAATTGAACTTTCCGTTAAGTTAAAGATGTTTGTTCGAATGTTTTAGATTGTGATGGCGTTTTAAGTTGGCGACGAATGGTGTTGTATGAAAACATGAACAGCGCCTCTGTCGGACTTTAAAGAAAATACGTTTAAAAGCACGAACAATTTTTGCCAATTATCGCACTCCAACAACATTAATATGTTGGATTGCGCGCCCGTTGCGTTTTCGTTTTGTGCTCGTCCCGCAGTGAAAACGCTCGCAATTCGCTAGTGTGATAAGGCTCTAAGTGTATATATTGCTATACTCTGTTAGTATAAAATTGTAGATATATACTTATGGTCCGGCTGAGAAAGTTGTTGAGTAAAAAAAGTTATAACCGAGGAAAAAATGATTTAATGTCAGCAATACTTACTTAATATGTTGATTTTAGTAATAAAAACCTCGAAAGTCTAAGCGGTTCGTTGCGTAACGCGTTACATAGACGTGACACCAATTTCAGTACTTAGACCCATGGTTAAAACGTTCTTATAGATTTTTTAATACAGGTACTATTACCAAATACCTAATAGAATGAAATAAATAATGACATAATTGGTTCAATACAAATACGCATAAAACGCAAAATTGCTTTATTGTTAATTATAGAAAAAAAAAAAAATTAATTGTTAAGAGTATTTTAGATCGTTTTAAGGCTCTTTTGCTTATTTTAACGTAACATCAACTTAATTAGTCAGAAGGTAGAAGTGGATATTGAAACACAACTAATTTACAACAACTTTTATTAGGGATAAGAAGATGGCAACTTAAAACTACAATAATTTTATTTCATTCACGAATGTGTATTCTAAGTTCTTATTGATTAATGTTTTAATATAAATGCATACATCTTTGTTTCGCGGAGACTTATATTTAAACATATATTTTAAGTAATGACAAATATATTTATTTTATTTCAAAATCTTTTTTACGGAACGTAATTGGCATATTTATGGGAAGGATGTCTGTTAATTAATCTTATTTGTGTTAAGAGGAGTCCGTGTACCAAAATGACTAAGGGTAGCGAAGGTAACGAATTTAGAGGATGTTTCCTTTTATGTTTACGACTTAAGTCTTATTGCACGTGACAAAAAAGGATGTTTCACGCTTTGACTTTTATTACACGGTGCGAAACAGGTCAATTTGGTTTTGGACTCCATATTTACCTTGACATACTTTAAGCTCTGAAGTACCGCCTCGTTTTCTTTCTTCTCAATTTATAACACGCGGAAACAACGACCAAAAAATAATAAAAAAAACATGAAATATTTCCAGATTTGTATTTCATTCAATAGTTTTCAGAACTCACCCATGTAATCATAATACAGAGGATTTCAACAACCTTCTCTAACACGGATAGAATATTATAATTATACCTCGAAAATATGAACCACTACAAAAATACTGTACCTACCACTCAAGAATTGGATTCTACTGCATTTAATTTCTATTTACATCGTTCGATATTTGAAAATTAATGAAGATTTTTTTTTGCGTTAGCAATCGTCGTGAAGTGATCGTGTAGTGTTTATTTCCGGAAGCAGGAGATAGGGTTGAAGTAGCATTGCCGGAAACGGGCCTGACGTTTGTCCGCGCGCCAGGGGCGATTCATCTGACCGTCTAAGTTCCGGGCGCCCCAACCACGGCTCTGCCTGGGCCACGATCGAGTCTCTCGGTTCATTCCTAGTCTATAAAACACAGACAATTCTTGGTTATACCAAAATTAAATATCATACTGTTAGAAGAATACTGAGATGACGTCATCATGGAGGGGACAAGAAGTAGTGGTGACAAGTTTATATAATATTTCGACGAATTTCGTTGTGTCGGCATCTTGCCTAGGGGGAGACTCTGCCCGATTGAATATTCAATCTGTCTTTCTTTCGAATAATTGTTGTCATTTAATGAATATAAATATCTAATTTAATTTAGCCATACAACCAGTTTATAATAAATTCCAATTGTTATTATATTCCTGGTCCTTTATGAATACAATATTATCAACTATCTGTATTGCCTAAGCCTTCGCTTTGCAACACTACCTTGTTCCTAGTCAGCAGCACAAACGCAGATAGCCTGTTTCTCTTATATTATACGTACATGTATTGTATATTTTACTTATTTTTATTTACTGTAATTTAAAACTGACACGTATACAAAACACGTGTATTTATGGATATAATATATTTTTATTTTTGTTAAAGTTTCGTGTCACTAAATGCAATTTGCATTTAGTACATTCGATTTTTAAAATCTAAATATCTTTTAAGTCTAAGTGTAGCGTTTTCAGATTAAGTAAAAGCCTCTTTTTAGTTTTTTGTATGATATCTCTTGCATTGAAATCGTATTATAATAACTATTGCAATTATATATTCCTATCATATTATAATTTGCATCAGTTTAAAGAAGAATATTCTAGCTTGCATTATAAAGCTGTAACGAAAGCTCAGTTTATGAATTGTAAATGCGACACCGGTTGTTTAAATTTATAAAATAACTTTTACTGACGACGTTATGCGGGGTTCATATTACGTTTAGTCAGGTCTTTGAAATAAAATATTACGCGTCTAACGTTGTTCTTTTCTAGAATATCGAGAAAAAATCCAAGGGAAATCTAAATGAGATGAAAGGAATGATGTACCAATTAATTATCTAACATAATTTGGTAATTGTATAACAATTATGGAAGGGTGTCCTATTCAAATATTTTACGTATTTCATTATTGCTTTAAGATCATTTTATAAGGTTTATTCCGTCCAGCTGGGTTAACTTCACAAGTAAATTTAGATTTTGTAATATTATTGCACGTTGTTTTTGTTACTTCATTTTAAGTGTTGTAAATCAGACTATTTGCGTAAAATTACTTCACATTTAATAAATTCTTCAGTTGTATAATAACAAAAATTAGCGGCCTTTTGTTATTGAAAATCTACTAAGATAGTTTATGATCAAGTTAGTTGGTAAGTAAGCCATTAAATACTCTTAAAACTCTAATTAACTGTTATACATAAGTAGAATTTTACTGAAAATGTAATGTGTGAAAGATCTTCTAATTCACCGATGAAACTTCTTATAACAATTTTCGAAACAGGTGTTTTTACCAAGATTATGTAAAGTTAAAGATATTTTATATCTTACCTCTCCTCAGCATCCATCTGCATAATCATCTTGCGCAGAGCAGCCGTGTTGATGGCATCCCATGTTAAATCTCCGTCACCAAGAACAGCTCTGCCGATTAGGGTATTTTCAGATTGCTCGTCTTCAGACTCCTATAGAAAATACTTCATTCATATCATTCTATATACAAAGACTGTTCTTGTGATTCATCTTAAAAGATAGAAACATACTGTCGCGACATTTTTATAGATAATTTAGAAAAAGAACCATGCATATCATTCATTCATGAATTTTGTTTTTTTTTGAACCGTTTTCGCAGCACACGCAACGGGGTTCTTCAAAGAATATTAATTAAAGGATAATATTAAATACTGTCTGTAGTTTCCGCGAGTAGTACACATTTAAAGGGAACACTTTAACGGTTTAAAACGCGAAATATATTTAACCGTTAAAGTGTTATTTAAAGACATACTTAATTTGTTTAATTACCATTGGCGCAGAAAATGCAAGAGAGGTCATTAGAAACAGGATCATTGTTCCGAACAGCAGTACTATGCTGTTGTTGTAAATAGAGAAACCATTCATGTTTGTTCCTGAAACAAAATTGAAAAATATGGTCAAACAAATCTTAGAAAAGTACTGTCTGTATTATTTACTACTCTTTAAGAAATCATTTTTAATATTTAAAAAAGAGAAAGCATTGCAATATTTCACAAACAGAGATAAAAAATGACAAATATGGTACAGCTAAGACAATTGTGTTCTTTTTTTAATTTTGTCCTGTGTAGTGCACCAGCAAAGGCCGACGGGGTCTCTCTCTCCACGTTCAGAAGAGACTTGGTCCCCTCCTCGGACAAAATCTTATTATTAATAGATATTTATGATAGAATATTTTATCTTGGAGCACTGCGTAGACTCAGCTTCGTTTTTATTATTGATTACTTATGAACATACAAGCAGTTGTAGACTTCTGTGGCCTGTTGACCTGAACTATTTATTTGTTTGTATGTTTCCAAAGGATTCAAATAATTCAAATTTTAAGCTTATGTATTACTAAGCAACGTCTTAATCCACTGAGCCATGGAGACACCGCGGTAGTTAGATTAATATAAATATAATTTAATTAGAACTATAAGACATTTGACAATGCTAATATAATAGGAAAATAATCATTATATCATATTTTAATACGTCAATTATGCGAGCCCTTAAGGAAATTATTCGGGCATGTGTCCCACAATTACCCTAATGAGAACTTTTAATGTAATCTATTTTAGCGTGAAGAAATGGAAACGAGTGCTCTTCGCTTTAAAGAAACGACATGTAGCCATTTACAAGACATCCCCTTTTTGAATTCACATAACGTGATAGATTATGTATTTTAAACTATAGTACTAAAATTGTTTTAAATGATTATTTGCTTTAATTATATCTAGTTTTTTTTGTAGCCGCGACTTTGTCTTTAGAAAAGTTATCAAGGGCATCAAAATTTGCGTTTTTAAACCTCCTTTCCATCTTTACTATAGTTGTTACCCACGATATCATCCGCGACTCGCCGTACTTGCAAGTTAATCTTAAGAAGCAGGCACGCAACGGAAACCAACAAAAATGAATAATTTTTCCCCTTTTTTTGTGAAAAATAGCACCCTGTTTCTTCGTTCGAATTTTTCGCAGCCGGATGATTAACAAACTAAAGCCTTTCTTGATAAACGTTCTAATCAACACAAAAATATTTTTTCAATTCGAACCAGTAGTTCCTGAACATTCAAACAAACACAAAAACTCTTCAGCTTTATAATATTAGAATAGATTTTTGTCCTTTATATAGGGACCAGTGTAGTTACATTAATTTATTATAATGCGGTGTATATACTCCCCACTGCCCCATTTAAATGCTGCATTTATAACATTCCCATATTCCCCATAGCATTGATATCACATAACGTAGTGAAACCCCGGTACCCGACGGATTAGAACCGCCTTGACAATAAATTGAATACACGAAATATTATTTAGCAATCGCCGACCCGTCTTCATAAGAAGGTCGTATTGTGATGACTACATACATACATGACTCATGATGTTGTTATTATTAAATAATTGACATTTTTATTAATATTTGAAGGTTCTTATTTAACTATATATACTTCCGATACCTGAATCTAGGTATAGGTTAGTAAAGGTATAGGTATAGGTAAAAGTTATGAATATTTTTTAAATTGTAGTGAATATTAAGAAAAGATTACAAAGCCCGCTGAATTTTTTTAATGCAAAATTTTAAATTGATATTAATTAGAATCTCGCAGAAAAAATATTTTAATAATACGTCGTGAATTAGTAAGATCATCATTGATTATTGTGCAACTACTCCAGATCTTCTCCAGAGTTCGATTCCTGGTCGGGTAATAGTAGTAACAGTTTATTTAGAATTATTCTATCACTATCTAATTGTTGTACTACCCCGGAGTTTGGATGTAGGAAGTATCATGGCTCCCGTGTTCCAGCAAAAACGTTAAGTCAAAAACGGTAAGGAACAATTCCTAATTATCATCACTAATTTAGGAAAGTACGAAAGCCCAGCAAAATATTCTTGCGTGTTGGGCTTAAACCTGTGAGATCTATGCATATCTCATCATCTATCAAGCGATAAGACGAGAAGAGTTAATAGGTTGTTTCATTGTAATTTACGTATCTTTCTCAAAGAACTTCTTACGAAAGAACCACAATGACATAAAAGAATGCTTCCCGCTATGAGGTTCCATTAATTTCTCAACAGTAGCTAAAATATTTAGATAACTTTCCCCTTTACCGTTCGCCTCGAGGCTAAACCAATTGCGATATAGAAGGCTTTAGTGAATTAAAACGACGCCACATTAATATGCAAGCGCTCATGCTGAACAAATGAACCTTCTGGAGTAATATCCAACCTCGCTAGTTAAACGACCATCAAGATGTATCTATCAGGGATGTAATCTTCGTATACTTCATACAATTAATAAAAAATATATCTTTTTGGTAAAGGAGGAGAGACATGAGGGAGACAAAAAAGGGTTTACTTGATTGATAGGTGAAATACCTCAGCCATATGACAGCTTAACTAGATGCGCTGTCGGCCTATTATGGCTTTGGATATTCGGAACGAGTGACAATGTAAATAAAAGAGTATATTAATGTAATATTTTTTGTTTGTGTGTAATACTTGACTGCGATCCTCCAATAGATTGAGTCTTGTCTTTTGAATTCTATTTACAGTAAAATGTATTGTACGTGTTACTGTTTGAATAATTTGTAATATGGCATAGCAAATAGAGGTTGTTTTATCGAAATCGGATGCCTGTAAAAAGTTAGAATAGTTTGAAGATTTTCTAATCGATGGAGGTAGATTCGTAAGAACGATCGCTGCTGAAAGCAGACGAGTACGTGGGCGTAAGCTAGAGTTATGTAATTATATATCCATTGTGGATTCCTAAGCTTATATTTAATAGACCTCGAATTTATTACATAACAATTAATAAATAGCCCAAGTCCCCTTTGTCCTTCCAGATCCTATTTTCGGGAACCTATTATTTTATTAATAACGTTGAAATTAGTTTAGAATATCTCACAGAATCGTATTGTATCGCGAAGATAGTGTACGCTATTGTGTATTGAAAATCACGTTTGACAACCCTAAAACTAAAGGTGCAGTAAGCTCCAGTTGTCTCGAAAGTGTCATATAATGAGATTTTTATATGCCTTGTATACGACGAAGGATTGAGCCTCTAATCGAATAAATTTGCGTAACGCTTAGAAATCAGATCCTATGCTAATGGGCGTTACAACCAGCTTTGCGTAATTCATTCTACCTTTGCGATGTTAATTTATTCACAGTATGTTTCGTTCCTAGTATTTAATAGGAACCTTTACTTATTCTGTACGCCGAGATTCATTTATTTAAAATTGTCATAGTCCGTCGTCTAATAAAGTAGGTTTTCATTTTTATATACCTACCCTCAAATAGTAGTGCTGACTGTGTGTCAGATAATGTTTTGAATAACCTCCTCATAATATATATATCTAGAGGCAGAGTAGCCTAACTGCAATTTTATGACTTGACTTATTTATATATGTTAGTCTAAAAATGTTAATCTACAAGGGCACACTGACCCAAAATTTTTAACATATATCTTACACATATAATTTAGAGTTTCCTCCTTATTGAAAATCATGGTTTTTGTTATTAGGCCACTCTGCTTCTAGCAGCCTCATATTATACAGATATATATTAGTTAAAGGCTTTAGAGTTTTGTATTCTTGGTCACCTTTTATTTCTAATTGAGTTTGATAATTTGATAAGTGTTGAGGGTAGTAATGTCTAGTACGTCTAAAGGCAAAAGTGACCGCGGTTATAACAAAATTAGGAAAGCTTTTTGTTTTGAGCCATTGTTTAATATGATTTAAATTATTTTATCAAATCAGGTTAGTCTCTATGTCATGTTACATAATATGTACGTAATTATTGTTTTCCACTTAAACTACTGTCAGTAGTTAAAGCGAGTAGTACACATTTAAATAAAACACTTAAACGGTTTAAACACAATATATATTAGATAAACTTATGTGAAAATTATTTCTTACTTCGGCCCGACGTTGCGGATGCTTTGCAGCAGACCACGGGGGAATAATTTTCAAATAAGTTTGATTAGGTAATATATATTGTGGTAATCGTAATAAAATCAATTTGTTGGATATATTTAAACAGTAGTAGTTAAAGTTCACCTTCCGACACTAGTTGAACGCAATCTGGATGGCGTTTCTCGCTACAAAGTTTTCTAAATAAAATAGAAATAAACGCACAGTTCAAAGCTGCAGTCAAGTGTCTAAGCTCGAAGTGAATATTAGAAAAGTTGCCATGGGCGCAACGGGCTGTAAAGTGCCTTGTTCATAATTTTATATTAACCACTTGAAAACTTGATTCTATACAGAAACCTGGTATTAATAACTGCACGTGCGAGCAAAACCTTTAGAAATAGTTAAGTATGAGATGCAGATTGCTTTAACTCTTCACATTGTCAATATTATGTTTTTCATACTCTGTAATACATAAATTAATTAATTATAAAAAATACGATACATATTAATTACAAATAATCCGTAATACTGTTTGAATGGTAAAACTGTGAAAAATGTGGAGTACTATTGCTTACAAAAGTATATGAATGTAATAATTAAAAAATACTAAACAACTTAACTTACAATTTATTCCAATATGTTATGTTTTTTAAACCATAGCAGGATAGTTCCTAAACTGGAACTGTCATATAGACAGGAAATTAAACATTGTAAAATGGTTATTTATAAACGCTCAGAAAAATACCAAAATGCACCATCACTGTTGTTCAAGTCTCAATAAAAATGATTGAACTAATTACATTAGCGTACCTTGAAAGCATAAACTGCGACCATCGTGCTTATTACTTCATGATACCAAAACACGAAATAGATTAATAGAACCTGTTCTTAATACGTTTTGTATCTCTTATAATAAACAATCTCGGAAACTAAATTGCGTTCAAGCTCTCCTTTGCGTGCTTATTTGAATACTCAAGTGCTTCTTGAAACTAAACAAAATATTTTTAGAAGCACCTTAATGGTTTGAGTCGAGATGCATAATGTCTGAAATAATCGCTTCATTTTATATTCATAATATAGCTAAGTATTTTTGATGGCATCAGCTTTTATAACGGTATAATCATATTATACGTAGATATGCTGAGATTGTCAAAATATTTTCCATAATTCTTTGCTCGTAAGATAATTATTCACTTTACTTCAGTAATGTAAAATTTGATGTGGGTAGACTATGCTATCTAGTAAATGAAATTTTCTTTCCTCTTATAACAATTTAAGATAAGATATGAAATATTCACGATTTCCATAAAATGTAATGCAATATACAATTCAAATAATCATTACATTTTTAAAATTAAAAGGTTAAATGTGTACTTTGAAGCAAAATGCCGAAAATATTTAATGTCTCATTAATTATACAACCTCACAATTTGCATTTTTGCTTAAGGTAAATGTATATGTGGCTAATACGAATCTAAATGTAAAATTATGGTGATTAAAAGTGCTATTAAAAATAGCTAAAAAGGATATTTTAATGTGTGAATAGTTCTGTTGCAAATGGAACGTAGAAATATTTATTTCTGTGTCTTTAATTTATGATTAAATATGAATTATTACTTAATATCTCACAAGAAACATTAGTTTCGTGGAAGGGTATTTGGACAAGAGAAAAGACGTCAATAATAAGTTTTTTTTACATTTATAGCACTGTTTTATTATATTTTATTAGTTATTTGATAAAGCATATCAGCATAATATCATCTGAGTATGGGATATGCTTTACTATACTATACATTTATGATTATATACAGAATTTTGATTTTATTATTACCAAATAATTAAATAACTTATATTTATTTAAAGTATTCAATTCTATTAATGGATAGTGATTTGTATATTTAATTACCCGGTTTGAAATTCTGATTTAGATAATTACAGCTTTTATATGATTTTCTATCAAAAGTATTGTATTGTATTGTTTGTAAGAATAAGACAATAAAGTCAAAATATTAATAAATGTTTTAGTTTTATAGTGTAATACAAATAGTTCCAAATATAAATATTTTGTAACGGTCACTAATAAGTTAGAAGTATTAGCAGTTTCTATGATTCCTAAAGACCTAACTGGTAAAATTAAAAAAATAATAGCGAAAAAAAACGTACATACTCTATACCAATAATAATATCTAAAACCTTACCTTTCGTAGAACTTCGCGGGCGAAAGTTAACACGCTACGAACTCGTAGAGCCTTCGCCGTAGAAGGTTTATGGAAGCAAATGAGAGGTGAAGTGCGATTCGCGTGGTTTTATAGTGAACAGTGTCCGCGCGTAGGTGAGATCGGCGTAGCATCGTAGCGCGTAGCCACCGACCGCCCGCCCATAAGCACGTATTCCCTACGAGCTAATTAAACTGTTTTATCCCAACCTACTTAGCTTAGTTTCAAACAGTGCTGGACTAATAAGAACATTTTCCCATAATTTAAAAATATAATTGTATATAACAGTTTACAAGTGTATAAATTAAACACTTCTAATATTTAAATAACCAATTGGTCGAATTTTGTAACTCATGAAGTTTATGAATAAAATATTTATAATATATGAATAAATTTAAAACGTAACGTTTGCATAAGGAAAAGTCTTGTTTATAAATCGCACAAAACGGCCTTGAGTTCAAGTCCCGCCCGTGTCCATTTTTTAGACAAACAAGGACATTTATAAGCATTAATTAGTTTCAAAAGATTATAACTTGTATTTACAATTGAATAAAGCAAACCAACTGAATATTTAACATATGATACCCTTACTATCTTAGCATTATTCAAAACATTAGTTCGGTTTCAATTTTGAATACTAATGAAGATATTCGCTTTAATTCTCAAACTACGTACAAAAGCTTAGCCGTTACTATAATTTTACATTACATACCTCTATTTAATTATAAAGTAAATACTGCCATACTTTCCCACGACTGGGACGTAAAATTGTCGTAAAATTTTTTTTTCTAAGCTTGTTCCGTCTTACAACGCTAACAAGAAGACAAATTTTATCATAATCGTAAAAAATGTATTCTTTAAAATAATGACGGCTTCGTTGGTCAAATGATAGCATTGTATGGCTAGTGATCAATGGGTCGGGGGTTTGATCCCCACCAGGTCCGACATGTTTCTAAATTTTAAATTAATATTTTTTCTGAAGTTTCGGGTTCAGTCTGCGGATTTCCGCAGACTGAACTCCATGTCTCCTCTATCATAAAACAAAACATTAAATATAAAATTACATCAGCTCTAATTGTATATAAAGAAAAAATAATGATAATATCATAATAAAATACGTTTTCTCATATTCTTTTAGAGCTGCGAACTTCAAAGAATGTTGCAATGTTACAATATTAAGGAAATGTAAAAAAAGACTTGGTATAAAATTAAAAATCTTATGTCTTTGCTTAAGTCTTGATCTTGTGTACTTTATAGTTTTACATTTAAGTCTAATTTGCGATAGCAAACACGGATTCTAATAAACTCGGCGTTGCTCTCTCCCGTGTTGCATCCGCTACGCATCCGTGCCCACTTGGCAGCAGGATATTTACGTTAACACGTTCAGGGAAAAAATAAATAACGACAAAATTATAAAAACATTACATTCTTAAGACTATGTGAGCTATGTAAATTTATATTACATAAACATACAAATTTACATAGTCTAGTTATTTAATTAAATAGTGGATGTTATCAAAATATATATTTTTTGCTTTTTAATTTTGTAACCATTACCACCACCATTATTGTACCACTAATATAATATATCTTTGTTGTTCTCTCTGACGTCCGATTTTAATATTAAGTAATGAGCTATTTAAAGGTTTATTATATGAACGATCACATTTTCATGGCTTATTACGTACAAATAGTTAAAAAACTTTGCTACAATTTTTTAAAACTAAAATTTTCAAGCTAATTAATATAATTAGTATGTTTTTTTACATAGATGCCTTGTACGCGAGTTTCAGGTCATAGAATGTTGCTTCAGATCGTGGACGGTATAAAAATCGATCAAATAATAATTATAATCAGCGCAAGTTAAAGGGAAATTTGACTTTTAAAACAGACTTTTTTTACAACATTTTTTCGTAGTCTTACAAACTTATATCAAAATATTAACCCAGTTATTATATTGCAAGATACAAACATAGGAAAAACAAATGTAGTCTCGATGGACTTATCTGAAAAAGTGACAAGATAGGGTTTAATTTGGGATATAAATGGCATCGATTATGCCTCCGCAAACATATTATAGCGATAAAACCTTATCAGCTGCGTTATTGTTTAAATAATCTAGTTTTCCCTCTCAGTAGAAATAATAATAAAATATCAATGAAAAGGCAATCAAAATTGGCTTTTTACTAATGTTACATCAGAATTAAGAGTTACTTAAGTAAAACTCTTTAACGGCTTAAAACGCGATACACATTGGTGGATTTTAACTACGGCCCGACGTTTCGGATGCATAACACCAGCCGTGGTCACGGGGAGGCTCCGAAAGGTTGGGCCGTTGTTAAAATTATTTTCAAATAAATTTAACTAATATGTATCGCGTGTCAAACCGTAAAAGAGTTTTATTTAATTTAAAACTACTCGCGTAAACTATTTATTATATTTTAAACAGTATTAAAGACTTGGCTTTAGACCTTCATAACTCTTCAGTTGAAGCTGAAGCGCGATTTTACTCTTCACGGCTTTTCCATCGATGGGTGGTGCGACGCGGTCTATATAGAAGTTTAGCTATCCATTCGTCCATTTTTCCTGACGGGATCTAAGATGCTGTATTGACCCGTTTATCTATACTAATATTATAAAGAGGAAAGCTTTGTATTTTTGTATGTAATGGATAAACTCAAAAAGAACTGGATCGATTTGAATAATTCTTTTTTCATTAGAAAGCTACATTATCACTGAGTAACATAAGCTATATTTAGTACTTGATTACTATAGGGATCTATAGAAAAACTTATTAAAACCAACGGAAGCCGTAAAATGTCTTTCCTCGCATACGCTGCGAAAAGTATTAATGATAGGACAAAAAAATGTTCAACAATATTATAGATGTTTTTTGTAGATATATCAATATCTACAGAAGACATAGCTAGAGCATATGTTTGTTGTAGTTACGTCGCTATAACTACTTTTTTACATTTAACAAATTCATAAAAATGCCGCTCAAAATCAGACCGTGTTATCCTTACCATTTTTTAATTTTTTATCCAAATAAATAATTTAATATTCAAGACTGTCTCAATACCTGATGATTATTTTTTTAATCATTGAAATCGGACATTCCATTCAAATGATATCATGAAATTTAAAAAAAATACATGCCGGCGGTGGCCGCCACGCCGCGCATTTAGTAACTAACTCGACGAAAGGGCCAGTGGGCTCCTTACGCAGTGGACGCGACCGACATTGAATATTTCGTTTTTTTTAAACAGTTTTATGCTTCACTTAAAAAGTTCTTTTTCAGAGCTATTTAGTTTTAGTATTACGAATTTGCATAATATTTGTCAAAGTTCTTTTCGGAATTACCTCTTTGTACTTGAATATTTTCTTTTGTATTATTATTAGTTTATTCTTAATTTCTCTGATTTAAATAAAATAGCTAAGAATAGTTCCCAAGCGAGATTAGCACAAGTTCGTCGTATTGGAGAGTCTTCTTCTAAAAATCGTCTGGAAGGTATAAGAGGGTACGCGCCCCAATCGCGAGCCAGAAATTCTATCATCGAACGTTCAGGTTTGTCTTGCAGAACAACATGCAAGATCGTCGCAGCGACTTGAAGAAAATAGAGCTAGGAATTCGCGAACGCAGCACGGGACACTAACACTAAACACTTGCAGCGGCTCCTGACACAGCGAGATAGACAACGGTCGTTAACAGATGGACGCGCAATACTTTTTTTTCTAATTTAGTGATTCATGGTCGTTTTAATTAGCATGCTTATAATTTAAATATCTGTACCTATTTATGTCTACCCGTGCGAAGCCGGGACGGGCCGCTAGTGAGTAATACTTTGCTATTCAGGATTTTTATGACAATTTTCGAAATTTAAAATTTTAATACTCTAGTCCATACTAAAGAGGATTTAATTAATTAAGATCATGCATAATATTTACTACAAATACCGCATTACCTTATTGGACATATGTATTATTCTAAGTTGCGGTATAAAATCGCAATTACTTCCTTTCCACTCCTGTCACGCGAATACAGATATATCCATTGCGATGATAATAGTTGTGGATTTTTAATTGACTGCAGCTTACACCTATCGTAATTTCCAGAATAACATTTTATTATATTAATTGTGACATCTATACAACATTATGGTCATACCGAGCTTCGAAGATAAATTAATAACTATCAAAATTCAACAAACACTTTTAACTATATAAAACTATTATATTAAATGCGAAACGGCGCGGCATATTTGAAATCCATGAATTAATACTATTAGCATTGTAAACCGTTTAAATTTTATATAAAATGTGTGCTATTCGCGTAAAGTACTGCAATTATCGAGTCTATAAATGTACAGGTATAATTTGTTCTATATGATAATCCGGAATAATTCGTATACGAGTTGTTAGGTTATAAATTGGATCTTTTGACGACAAACCGAAACTTAATAAATATTTACAATCGTTACGATTGCGTCTTTTTATTTTGTAAGACATTTTTTGTTGGCTATATTAAGTAGATATAAGCTAAGAACCATGTTGGTCTAATGGTGTTACCTTTTTGCAAACCTTATTACTAAAATACTAAATATATATTTTAAGTTGATTGTATACCCTTTTAATATCAAAACAACGCTTCATTCAAAGCTCTATTTTGTAGCTTACGCTGAGAACTTGCAGATATGCACTAGGTATTGTGTTTATTGATTCTTTCTGGAGACTAGACATAACAAAAATCGTTATCAGCAGAAATCCAAGTTTCCATGGAGTATACGTGAGCTTTACAGTCTACCCTTAATATAAAAGAAAGTAAGTTGAATTGTGTCCTTGATAAATTCGAAGTAAAATTTAATACCGACATTTACACACAACCCACCGCAATAATTCATAATGGATCCTTAAGTGCTTTTAAAGGGTAGCAGTAAAGCAGCATCAAGGTACATATACTATACTTATAATATATACTATATTTATATTATATGTAGTACTATACCTAATTGGTTAGTATTTAATGATAAACAATAGGTAATGGAGGATAGCACATAAGAGATGGTAAAATTCATAGAGTTAATATTAATTATTATTTATTTAGTAATTAATGACAAAAATAATTCCTTGTAATTTAACATTGTAAAATGGTGTTAAAGCCTTCTGCCTGTGATAGCTTTAATAACCTGTTAATTGTAATACAAGTCACCGACCCCTCTTGACGTAAGCTTACCACTAAATATAATTTATGTGTTTAACATTTCATTTCACTTTATATAACAAATAATCTAAAAAAGTGACACTTCGTCATCTTTAACGTTTTCGAGACCGGTTTGTGACCGGTTTGTGAAAATCCATAATCCGTTTAAAGTCGTTATATGTATATATTTTCGCATAGTAAACAAATAAAAAAACTCGAAATAATGTTGAGAATAATCTAAAATAAGCAGCCGACACTGCATTATTTACTACGAATAGAACTAGCTGACACTCTTTAAAATTCTTTTACACGGAAATAAAGTATTTTCCCTCGTTTACTAGCAACACCGGTTTGTTGAGAGCACGTTTGGTTCTAAAGTTCACTTCATAGATGTGAAAATGCAGCATATTCTGCCTGCGGCCATGTAAAATGTTTTTCGCGGCCAGTCTAAACATTTTATATTACACGTACTGTGAATAAATAAATTTGGTCACATTTATTATCAAGCGAATGTGTTTTGATGGATTTGAAACAAGAATAGATGATGATGAATGATTTAAATAAGACACTTTAACGGTTTAAAACGTGATATATTTTAGTTACACTTATTTAAAACACACAGTTATTAAAATTTTAAGGTTTTATTTAAATGACGTGTACTCCTCGCGTAAACTACAGGCGTCGTACATGAGTAAACATTTTTGATAGTTTAATAACGTCCCGTTACTTGTAACTCCCATACCTTTCAGGATTTGAGTCTAGGAAGGAAGAATCCCAAATCATTTACATAAAAATAGAGCAGAATGAAAACAGGTAACAAGCAGAAAAGCTGAGCCATATCTCAATAGTTAACCACGTTGCAAAACATTTCGTAAAGCTCTAGAGGTCGTGGATTTGAAATCTGTGGAAGCAATCAGTTGTATCAGACAGGTAGGGCACAGAAGTCTGATAACTGCGTGGTGTCAATAAAATACATCAGTGAAACGGACACATAGATGGGTTCGCTCCATTCTCCAAGGAAAACGGGCTTTCACACACTCACGAGAATCCGTTCCGACTCCGAATCCAGTTTCTGTGTAATTATTACTTTAATGTCACAAACGAAACGATCACATAGAAGCGTAATTAAGCTTATGATTACTCAAGCCGCGGGCATTATAAGGAACTCGACATTCATCTCGCCGCGCCATGTATCCATTACAATCCACTTTATTATTTACGACTAGTAAAAACGATTTCCACATTCGTTCATAACTTTTCAGCGGGATGTCTCGGCGTGTTACTTGCGTCTATGTGTTTTGCAATGATATGACACTAGCTGACCTGGTAGACGTTCTTTTGCCATATAAAGTACGAACTGTGCCCG